AAAAGAATTTAAGCAGAAAAAAAAAAAAAAGAATATGTCACACATATTGCCGACTGCCAGCCCAGTACACAGCAGTCCCCACGAACCACGAGGCCAGGCACTTCCATGCTATCCCTGGGAACCGACCATGCAGTGTGGCTAGCATCAGTCACAACTGCAGAGGTAATGGTACCACTTTGTCTTCCCCAGGTGGACAAGCCCATTTCCAAGGACATCAGAAGCCAACATGCTAAAGGTAAAGTCACATCACAACAGTCTGAACTATCAGGATGAGAACGTCTACCTTAATCCCAAAAGTTTTTGTTTTACTTTGTGGTCTCAGACTATCTTACATGAGGTGGTCTACTGAACGTCCCTTCAGGACATAATTAATTTTCAAGTCAGGTCTGCCTTATGCCTTTTTCATTGCTTTTCCTTATTGACAAAAACATTATGAAAATTCATATATTGTGCTGTGCATATGAAAAGGAAACTTTCTGAAACACATGGATTGCATTAAATATATCACCATGTTGTTTCCGTAGACCTACAGTCAGAAAAGTCACAAGAAGAAATCTAATTTTAAAATGTAGATTAATTAATATGAAAATGGGCCTTAAAGCTTTTGGCCAAATAACTCATTTTGAGGATGGAAGTACAGGCCCAAGCTGAAAAGGAAACGATGAATTCCACAAGTACTCGAAGCCCAAGTGAAGGACCAAGAAACCTGATTGGATTGGATGCGTAATAGGGTCTGTCTTCCCTCACCCCTGTCTCCTGTGATTCCGATTAGAAAAGATGACCGCTGCCTGACTTATGCCTCCCAATCAGTGGAACAGAGTGAGCTCACTGTGTGCTGCATACTTTATTGTAGTGTCTGGCTGAAGACACCTTCTTACTTTTTAGCAACCCTTCGGGTCCCACCCAGACACAGGTGGCACTCGGGTGAGGCGTGGGGAGGAACAGAAACCATGCTGACAGCCAAGGCCCCAAAGGAGGAGAGGATGGTTGCCAAGAGCCACCCGGAGACAAGACCGCCAGAGGAGCCCTGTGCTCGGTGGAGGCCCAGGGGGGCCTTCCTGGAGCCAAGGGAGCGAGCAGGTGACTCCCTGCAGGAGCCTCCCCGTGGGAGGACCCAGCCAGAAAGGAGAGGCTGGGCAGCAGTGAAGCAGAGAGGGTCCCAGGGGGGAGGAGAAGGCGGTCAGAGCAGGCAAGGCAGTGGACAGAGTGAGGACAGCAGCGGAATCCTAGGCTCTGCCACCCCTCGCTATGCCACACTCAGCAGGCACCTGACTTCCCTGAGGCTCCGACCTGAGCAGGTGGGGCAGGCGGGGCTGAGGACGCCTCGCTTGAGCTGCGCTGCCCAAGGATGGAGGCTCCTACAGAGGTGTGGAGGATCCTCCTGGCCTGGCCTGGCCTGTCCTGGCTGGCACCCGCCCGCAGCCTCCGCAGCTCACCCTGTCCATCCCCCTCGACCCCATCCTAACCCCGACCTGGCGTGGACATCGGGGCTGCCATCCCCACCACCTTGTCCTGACTCATGCACACCGCGCCTGCTAGGAGCTGGGCACCTTTGTCTGCTGCATTTCCAGGCTGGGAGGGACTGGGTGAGCTATGGAGAGCATTTCCACTCCTCTCCAGCCAGAAAGGGACCAGAGAAGACCTGTTCATATGCGCATGTCCTGATAGTGAGTTTCTGGGCTTTTCATGGAGGACTGAGTCCCCCCGGGGAATGGCAGAGGAGACAGGGCCTGGGTCTGCTGTCTTTTCTCAGGATTCTCTGTGTGCCTCTGCCCTCGTTTCCTTGGCTGCCAAAGCTTCTTCTTCAGCCATCAACCCGCATGTCAGTATTCCTGTTTATCTCTTTAATGATATTTTTACCTCCGCTTTGCCTCCGTTCACAAAGATGTCTCCTCACCAGGAAGCCTAGTCCTGACTCAGAGAGGAACCCGCCCCTCACTTCCTTGATCCTCTGTCCTCTGTGCCCTGCATGGAGTTCAGTCAAGACCTGGAGGTGGCCATGCAGAAGTAGATTATGTAGACTTCATTGTGAGAGAGAGAGAGAGAGAGAGAGAGAGAGAGAGAGAGGCCCACAATGCTGCAACCAGCATCTGCACCTGCTGCGACTCTGGACACCTTTTTATGCACACAAGTTACTCCTGGGTTCAGGGAGCTGGGATAATTGTGATCCTCATCACTGTTTGATTCCTAAGTTACTTTGGAATTGCAAGATGTCTTTCTGTTCTTTCTAGTTGGTCAGTGTTTCCTGGAGGTTTAATCATGTAGGAAACTTACGAAAGAGGAGTTCCTAATTTAAACCAGGTCCCACCCCAAGGCTGGAGGGTCTGTAGGGAACATTTCCCCTCCCCATGTCCTTGGACTGTCAGCTGCGGCAGCTGGGAATTTGGTTTGGCTTCTGGTGGAGTTGGAGGCCCAGGTGGTCTGGTACCAGCAGAAAGGTGCGCGATGTGTAGCCTTAGATGTCCTCCTGTTCTATGCAATCGTTGCAGGTCTGAGACCTACAACATGATTATAAATGCAGTGTACATTGACATCTTTGATTTTCACTTAACTGGCAACGCATACTATCCTCCCCCCTTTGTCCCACAGGATCGCTGATGACTGACTACCCACCTAACAATTGTGGTAGTTAATAAAACCTTGAACAGTAAAATAGAACGAAATGAAAATGCTAGGGAAAATGTAGATGGATGACCTGATATGAAGATTAAGATCAAATTTAGGATTCTCAATCACACATGACTACATTCTATTAAAATCAAACTGCTAGTTTGCCTCTGAGATTCCTAGCAGTCTAAGCAAAAAGGGAATTGAGATCCTTTATGTAATAATAATTTCTCATAATAAAAAAGAAAACCAATTCCTCAGGGAAATGGACAAGGCTACATCTCCCAGGATCGCATCCATGCTGTCTATTTAATGGGGGATATCAGCTGACATCATGGCAACAAAACTAAAATCATTTTTTAAAGCAGACCCCAGTATAAAAACCACACAGAGGGCCTCCAAGAAAGGAAGTTGAGGCTAGGTGGGGTAGGGAGTCGATGGCGTGGCAGGCTTCTTCAGGGTCATTTTCTTTACATCTTTCTTTCCTACACTTTGTAATTGATGGTTTGATATTACTACCTGGAACCCCAATAATCCCATACAAGAGGGAAGCCTGGAGGGCAGAAATTAATAGGAATTCTCCCATTTTTAGGATCAGGCATCTTGCTGGAAAATGCTTGGTTGATTAATGTGTTTATTACAAAATTCTATAGTTTTGATACAAACACATTCTCAGATAATTTATTCATTCCCACAAAATGTCACAGAATAAAAATGTCTCAGTTGGTTCTGTAAAGGAAGAATTTTATGGCAATATTTTTCATCAAGTTGAGCAGTTATAGATTTATGGTAATGTACATCTCATGTCATTTTTCTTTCAATCATATTCCGACATTATCTGGAAACTATCAGATTTCAAGAATTTGTCTTCCTTGAAGTTTGATCTGGTTTATTTTATTTCTAAAAATGGTTAAAAAGTTTACTTGGAGGCAGAGTATTTACAGTATAAGTTGTTTGTGATGAACGACTAGCATGAACCACAATTACAGAAGAACTCATCACATTTTCAGAGGAGGATGGCTGTAATTTTCAAACACAACAAGGCTTACCTTGCTAGAAAAAGCAAAGCCGGCAACAAAAGAGGCTAAGATGCATTTCTCTCTGCCCTAAAGGTGAACCAAGCACAAACTCTAACCAATTTCCTTTGAAGTGACAAGCATATTATATGTGGGAATGAGTTTATCAGGAAATACAATAAACTACCCAAGAAAAGAAAAAGAGAATTATGCCCGGGTGACTGAACACATATACCCAGAAACAGGAGCTTGGTTGAAAAGAAGCAAAACAGAATTCCACACAATGCCATCAAATGAGCCTCATACTCACTTGCTTTTACAGGAATTTGGGTGCCGAAAAAATTAGAGTCACAGATGAGTTTGGAGTTAATCTGGCTCAGCCCCCTTGCTTTACAGCAAAAGGTCAGTAAGGGAAGTGGCTCGCAGGTGACAATCCTGCAGGTGGCCAGGGCCAAGCTCATGCGCTCACTGTGCCTGCTCCTCCTGTTCTTCCCAACCAACCGCAGTTTAGTAGTGGGTGAAATGTGAATGGATTGGTGACACTGCCCCCTAGTGGCAAAATATGGCAATGCAAAACATTCTACCACAATAGCAAGTCTTAGGTCAGGGTTGATTAGAAAAAACTTTAAAATGCTCCCTTACCATTGGCGATTTAAGTTCATTGAAACCACAGCCCACAGCTCTAAAAGCAACACAGACATCGACGTAATATTTGGAACAAAGTTAGTGTCACAAACAACATTAAATCACTCATGAGCTTATTGAGCAATATCTGTCCCATGGCTGCACAGGAAAAGTTCTAAGCCTCAAAGAAAAGGCAAGGCATCTGATAACTGTTTGACACAGCAAATACATTTTCCAGTAGAGAAACATAAAACAGCCACAAAATAGGAGAATTACAAACAAAATCTGCAATAAAAGAACCCTAAGAGAATTCGTATCTCCCAAGACATAGTTCCCCAGTGAAGACTCAGTTTCCAAATAGAATTCCAAGATGCAAAAACTATTTTTACGTAGGCAAAATATTCCCCTTCCCATAACACCATTTCCAGGTCGCTTCATGCACACGCGTAGTAGAAGCCCTCTTGTTTCCTTTGTAAAGTTGGGAATGCTCCCGGAATCAGCCATCCCTGCCCGCTCTGCACTGAGGGTTTCCTAGGAGCAGGGCTGAAAGCAGGGGGGGCCCCAAGCAGCCCCGCGACTGCTCCCCTAGCTCTGGCCTCTGCACCTGCTAGTCCGGACTGCCCGCCAGTAGGACGAGGGGCTGTCTCCTTGACGACCGCAGGACTCCTGCCATCCAGCCCCATTTGCCCCAGAGCCCTGGCACGAGGACTGGGCCACTGTCCGGAGCGGAGCCTCCTCCCGCCTTTCACAGCCCCAGAGGGCGTTCCAGCTCAGCAAAGGGACAGCTCCGCCTCTCTGTGGTTTCTTCATTAAACACCAGAGGGCCTCTGGGGGCATTAAACTGAAAAGGGGCCCTGAGTTAAGCAGAAGTCCACAGATCCCCTTGGTGCCCAACTTGCCAGAGAACCATGGGTCTCCCAGAGCGGGGTAAGGCGCAGGGCACTGGGGACTTCAGTGTCTAGGGAGCCTCCTATCTCCGGGATCACAT